TATTATCGTGCTAAGTCGAAAAACTACCAAGTTCCTAAGCTTACATATTATATATCTTGATCAACTAGGCCTATAATCATGTTTTCTAATCACTAACCCAATATCCTAATTAACCCCTACAAGTATTGTTTAAAATACAATTCATGTGGTTACTTATGTGTCTAGGCTGATTTTCAAGATTTTTCAAAATTCTCAAAAGTTCTTAATTAGGTCTTTCATTAAAGAAAAATGTCATAACCATTGAAATCGGGAAGAAAATCGGGTCAAAACAATGTAAATAACAAAAAAAAAAAAAGGCAGGGGTTCAACTTGTTTGGACCAAAAAACAGTCCAATTGAAACAGTTGATGTCTAGTTCTAGTGAACCGAATTGGATCAGTTCATTTGAGTCAGCTTATCTCTTTCCTCTCGTCAGTTTACTCGTGAACCCCTCATTGTTTTCTCGACAACCTTTTTTTGACAAACAATATCTATTATAGTCGAATAAAGAAAAAAAAGACTTTAAAACGCTCGGGTAGACTTTAGTTAGCTTGGTTGGCTCACTTTGACCATTTTAGACCATCTCAGAAACCGTTTTTAGCATAATTAAGGTAAAAAAAATATATATTCCAATATACCTATTGTTTTGGACAATTATTAATATTTAATGTGGTTCATAATGGATTTTATGATAGTGAAGTTATGTTGACTCCACAAATAGGCTTTAAACTGAAATTTATGATTGAATGGAATACCATGGATGAAATCGAATGTTAGTTGAAGTTGAATCTATGAGTGATCAACTGGGGCAAGCTCAGGATCACGAACTTGAGCCTGAAATAGTAAAGTGAAATTACCGTTGGAACATCTATAAGTTAGTTTGGATGAAAACGTTTGATACATGAATAACATGTACCCTGTAAACCTATTTATATGTTATTATTTATGTTATGATATCTAAATGATCTAGGTGATGCATGTACTTCTTTTCATGTTTGATTATGACTGCTATGCTGATATGACCATATTTATGCCTCACGAGATACCATAATCTACCATGAATGATAAGCATGAATAGAGTATCATAAATATGTATGCACATCTCATAAGAAATTTACATCATGATAAGTATAAAGGTATTATGTGCATCATTTCATTGAATCATGATTTTTAATGCAGGACCTTATGTATGTTGTTTGTCATATAATCATAAATTACTTCTTCAACATGTTATGTACATGCGTACACCATGATATTATTCATGTTCCTTTCTTTTTCATTGGTTTTCAATAGTGTGAGCGTGTGTTGGTCCATAGTCAAGCTTAGGGGTAAGTTAAGAAGCTCACTTAGTGGGTCCACGTGCATGTGAATGGAATATGTGTAGAAAAATACTATGCATCCAATCCTACCCACAAATAAAGTAGTGTCCAAGGAACAGTTAGGAAAAATTAGGTTTCACTAATCATGATACATATCGTATATGAAGGTATTTTTCTGACTCCAATGGTGGAGTGACTAACTAAACATTTTTAAATTAAAGACTCAACCTATATGAAGGGTTAATGCATGGTTTGAATTTTTTTAGTAAAGATGAAGGGTTCATGCATGGTTGACAGGGTCTTCTAAGGAGGTCATGTCATGTTTTTCATCGTTAGTATGACATAATAATGTTTTCCCTTTGAACTTTGTAGAGGCTTGTTAAATTTTATTTCTATGAGTGTGCAAAAACTAGTAATAACAGGCATGTAGTAACGATCTTATTTTTAAAGAAAAAATTAGGATCCTTATAGTTGATATTATGACTTCAACCTTAAAGATTCTGTAGACCAGCATGCAATGTAAGCTGAAAGTATTTCTATAGCTTTATAATGAACGTCCCGTCACTGCCAGGGATGTCCATGAAAGATAATAAATGATGTTACTATGTTATGTTATGGTTTACTATATGTAAAATGTGAAAGCTACGTGATGTATTGATGATTCGAAATATGTTTGGATTTAGCAAGATTTTTTGTACTATAATTGTGGTGATACAATTAGATGAAAAGAGGTCAATAGGCTACTTAACACTAATATACACTTGAAAAGACTTTGCTAAGAAAAGTTAGATATTTTAGTTAGATGTCTTGATGCATAGTTAAATGATCTAGTGTTATGATCATGAGATGAACAACGACATAACCACACATACTAGTGAGTAAGTTGCTATAATGAAAATGTACCAAGAAAGTATGATAGACAGTAATATTTTATAGGTTGCCATAGGTATTAAGAATAGTACTGCCAAAGAAAAATTTCATCACTACGTAAATATGAAATCAAAGTAGTTGGTATGAACATATAAAAAAAAAAAAAATGATTTGATTTTAACAAATTGAAAATTTATGAGCTAACCTCATGAAATTTCAAACCTGGTGTACTTAATATGGATTGGTTAAAGAAACACGTGCCTTTAATGAGATTTGAGTTTTGGAAGTAGTGAAATGTAGAATTCTCCTTATCTTGACACTAATTGTAACACGAATCGCTTTCCAAGGCTTCAAAATTTTAGATCAAATTGGATTGATGGCGTATTGATCGACTCTGCCACCCTCCTTTTTTGTCATGCATAACGCGTTCCACGAATCTATACTCAGTAAATACATGACAAACCAGACTCGTGATAGACTATGTGCTTTTGTAGTTATATGAGTGATTGAGTTAGGAGGAAAGACCCATTTAAATTTTTGCTCGAGAAGTAAAGATGTGACACCCGAGTAAAGAAGGGGCACATGAAAGAACTAGGACCACTTTAAATGGCAGCAATTCTGAAGATAAGATGACTAAGAAATACTTAAAAAGAATTGAAAGTTACTACATATACTAACAAGATACACCTTACTTTTTGGTGGCTCAATCATATAAACTCTAAAGTTAAGTGTGCTTTGCTTTGTGATTCTTTGTAGGTCACCCAACTGAGAATTTTTCTAGGAGACATGTGAGTTAGAACAAATCATGCTAAAAAGAACCCGTATTGGTTTATGGGGATATGTCGATAACATGGTCATGTTACAGGGAATGTGAGACCATCAAATGTTGGTTTGTGGGGTTAGGTTTTCACTCTTAGAAGCAAGTAGGTTACGTGATCATGTCACAGGGGAATGTCGAAGCCATCAGATATCAAATCCGGATTTCAAATCCTAGGCATAGGACAATACAAAGACCTTATGCACTAGAGAGATAACAACAGATAACATTCGAAGATAAAGACAAATGATGGAGAAGTAACTGAGTTAATTTAAGTTTAAGATGCTTTTCTCGTTTAAAAGTCTCCTAATTAATTAATTGTTTTTTTTAACAATAATTACAATTTAATATTATCTATTATATGAAAAATCCAATATCGAAGATTATTAAAATGAGAATCATATTTAAAGAAAATTGTCTTAACGAATTTGATGAAAGTAACATTTTTTAAAATTTTACTTTAAAAAATCATAAATTTAAACGTTCATAAATTCATTTAAAACATAATAGTAGCAACACGAAATAACAGTGTTGAAAACTGGAAAAAAATTAAAAAGTTTTGAAATAGATGCTATTGACCCGTCCTAACAATAGACTCATTTGAATGCGAAAATCTAATCATCGTAACTCCGTCATCTATGCATGAGAGTCTTAATCTTTTCCTGAAAAAATAATAAGTCTGGCTGAGTATTTCAAAATAATTAGTAACTGACCCCAATGTTAGGGTCGGAAAATGAAATCATATGTAATCATGGGTCATGGTGAGACCTATCTTTTTTGTGATTGTTCCTTAAGCTTTACTTTCTTGGTAGGGTAAGGTTGGATACATAGGCAGACTTGTTTACATACCCCCTAGGCCTGCCTACGAGTTAGTGCATGTTGATGTTGTCGAAAAATCAATGGAAATAAGGAATGCATATCATATCATGGCGTACACGTCTGTACAAAATATATTAGAAAAGATCTCATGCTCGTAGCATAAAACATATATGAGATCCCGAATTTTCAAATCATGGTACATAGTTATGATGCACATCATACTTTCATTCTTTTCATGATATAACTTCCTTATGAGACATGCATACACATACATGACATATCTTTCATTATTATCATGCAAAACTATATCATAACATCATAAAATGATACTTAGATAGACAAGGGTAGTATTTATAACGACCCTAGATTTCTCATAACCTAAAGTTGCTACCTTTTTCATAGCATCATCCCTAATGCGGAAATAAGCGTTTAAAACATTATTGTAAAACAATATCAAAGACTTGCATGTTTCAAAAAGTCTTTAAAAGCAATATAACGAAATATTAAATAAAACAAAGTAAATATTAAAATTAAAAAGCGTTATATACTAACCTATGGTCTAAGAATTTAAATACAACTATTTTATACATGTGTCATGGTCTTTACTTGCAATATCGTCAGTCATATAAGGGTGTCTTGCGAAAATAGAAGTAGCACATGACTTCAGTATTTTAAGAAATAATTAGTAACTGACCTCACTATTGGGATCAGTGAATGCAAATACATACAACTCATTATTAAGGACCTATCGTTAAAACTATCATAGAGATGGCCTCTAATCCGGAGCAAAACTAGATGTGAAGTACTTTCCTACATACGACCCACATGTGCGAGCGTGAATTCCCAATGGTTCGCACCCTCTTGACCCATCATAATTGAGCTAGCTGTTTGTAGCCAGACGTCTAAAGGTCAACAAACCCCCAAGTGTCATGTGAGGCATAATGATGATGACGACTATTTATAGTGTACGCGTTCGTATTATTATCTTAAATGAAGAAGTAACCCAATCTATATGAACATACAAAATAAATGAGGTCCGTATAGTTTTCATCCTTATGACATATCTATACATTATTCACTAGTTACACAGAGTATGAATCTTTAGAAAAATATTTTTGTGATAAAAGTTCATAAATTTATTAACTTAGTATTATAAATATTTAATCAAATTTAAAAAACCCTCCTTCGGGCATTCCATAAACCAAGGATTATTGTTAATTAAAATTGTGAAGTAGCGATCGGCTTTTTGTATTCTTCACAACTTTCTCTCTTCCGGTTAATGAGAGTGGGAAGATTTTTCCCGATTTCCTTCCCAACGCCCTGCGGATTCCTGATTTGAGGATTTAAGCTGCATTGGTTCTTGCTGAATTTATGGTTCTTTCTTCCCATATCTGAATCTCCACCTCCTTCCTTCCTTCCTTCTCAATGGAATTCATCATCTCCGATGATTTGTTGGGTACTTTTGTCCCCATTTTCGTTTATTGGTTATATTCTGGCGTATATGTGCTTCTCGGTTTCTTTGACAATTATCGATTGCACTCCAAGACAGAGGAGGATGAGAAGAACTTAGTTTCAAAATCCACTGTGGTTCGGGGCGTTCTCTTTCAGCAATTCATTCAGGCTATCGTCGCCATTATCCTCTTTAAGGTTAGCTTCTTGTTTTCTTTAGTTTCTTTACCACTATTGCAATCAACCATCGTCCTTGTCGGTTTTGGCATTGTTATTATAATTTAGTTTATTTCTGATCCTAATTATTGGCGGAACCTGCCCTACAAAATTCCAACTGAGATTTATTTTTCTCGTAGACTTGGCTGAAACCTTGATGTAATCCTCCTGATTTTTTCTTAGTTTAGCAGCTGTGTGTGGAGCACGTTGATTACAGGTTTACCAGCCTAGATATAGTTCGTTGTTTGTGGACCTTTTGAGTTCGACAAAATGAAAATAGTAACTCCTTTTCTCTTTAGATGTCTTTTGGATTTTGATCCAAACAAGAACAGACTAGTTACCAATTGTCAAATTTCGGTTTCTTATAGTTGTAACTATTGTATATTTATTTAAAAGATGATTTGTTGCTTAAGAAAAAAAAGTTCACATCAAAATAAGTTAGATGGCAATTGGGAAAATTTTAATTTGGTTGAATAATAAGAGGAGTTAATGATTCAAGTTAGGAAGTTGAAAGAATTTATTTCTTTGCAGTTTTTAGTTTCTCCAGTAAAGTTAAATTAATTGATGCAAGTCTGTTAACTTTTGTCTGTAAGTGTTTTTTATATTGAACACAACAAGAACAACTTTTCAAGATAGATGTGAACAAAATTGTAGGCTATAACGCCTTTTTCATTGTTAAATTCCCCCTATGAGATGATCGTTTAAACTAGGAAGTTATTGTTTAAAAACAACACGATATTTCTGCTTTGTTTGAAAATTAAATTCCACTTCCTTCAACTTTGTTTATTCACAATTTTGTGCCACATTCAAATCCTTCTGACTCTCAGAGTCTGTGTTATTGTCTTTCAAATTTAAGTTCAAATTTTTTGGGATAGCATCAATCCCCTGTTGTGTCATGCTTCGGCACTCGGTAGGAAGTCACCAACTCAGACAAACAAAATATTTGGACTTCCATTTCATTTTGTCTCGTGTGTTGCATGAATTTGCAACACTACTCTTGCTATTGCTAAATCAGATGTAGAGCGGTAGTTTACTGGATGTTCATGTGAAATAGACATCCTATTAAATGAGTTATTTGGGTTTGGTCCTGTGGATAAGAGTATTTATGAGCTCAAACTAAGAAGCCACCTATTCAGGACATCCTTAGAAACTCTGGATTCGTAATATTCCATGACTGATATCATGTGGAGTGTCTGCTCCTCTGCACTTTCATACTGGTTTGTGTCCGAATTTATAATTACACCGTGTTATAACATTCAGGTGACTGGAAATGAAGATGGGAGCAGTGCAGTTCCAAAATCCTGGCCAATGGTTGCTTTGCAATTTGTAACCGCGATGTTCGTTCTGGACACGTGGCAGTACTTCGCACACAGATACATGCATCATAACAAGTTTCTGTACAGACACATTCATTCTCATCACCATAGGCTTGTTGTTCCATATGCATTTGGGGCATTGTATAATCATCCTGTGGAAGGTCTCCTGCTTGACATGGTTGGTGGGGTGTTGTCCTTCCTAGCATCTGGTATGACTCCTAGAGTCTCCATCTTCTTCTTTTCCTTCGCCACTATTAAGACTGTAGACGATCACTGTGGATTATGGCTGCCTGGTAACCTCTTCCACCTCTTATTTCGCAACAATACTGCATATCACGACCTCCACCATCAGCTATATGGCAACAAGGTTAACTATTCACAACCCTTTTTTGTTACATGGGATAGAATACTTGGTACCTATATGCCTTACTCCCTGGAGAAGAGAGCAGGCGGCGGCTTTGAAGCACGCCCAAAGATTGAATAAAAATACTCTAAGCAGCTCTCAGTTGCTTAGATATATATATATATATATATTATATTACATTATATTATTTGTATCCCACGACCATAGAATTTGTATATTACTCCTATTGTTGCCATTTTTATCCTTTTCCCTAAAGTAGATTTGAAACATGAGTTAAGATCTTTTAAAATTTTCTTTTGCCTTTTCATTTAGCCAGTCATTGTGATGACTTTTTAAGAGTTGCTACATTCAAATTTGATTAAACGAAAGGGCCACATTTGGTTTAGTATCGTTATGGGTTGTTGATTCATTCGAATCGAGAAAATGATCGCCATTTTTTTAATAAAAATTATAATCTTTGACTTTACTAAAACAAACATTAGGTTGGACGATATTGATATTGTAACGACTCTAGATTTTTACTAACCTAAAGTTGCTATCGTCATCATAATTTATGTTCTTATGCAAAACATCATCGTAAAACATAAACTTCATTTTAAAATACTCTCATAGACTTAAGATAAAAACAATAATATAATAAATAGACAATAATAAATATGTCATGGATTTACGTGTACAAAAATATATTTAAAACAAGATAGAGATAATAATAAATAAAGTAAAACATTAAATTTTAAACCCTCTCTGCTAACTTAAGTATAAGAAAATAAAATGTTATTATCATATGCACGTGTCATGGTCTCTACATGCGATGTCGTGCCAGTTGTACAATGACTGAAAATGAAGTAGCACACAACTAGAAGCCTTCCTGAACAGCTATCATGGTCTCTACATGCGATGTCGTGCCAGTCGTACAATGGCTAAGAATGAAGTAGCACACAACTAGAAGCCTTCCTGAACAACACACAACTGAAAATGAAGTAGCACAAACTAGAAGCCTTCCTGAACAACACACAACTGAAAATGAAGTAGCACAAACTAGAAGCCTTCTTGAACAACACACAACTGAAAATGAAGTAGCACACAACTAGAAGCCTTCCTGAATAGCACACAACTAGGGGTGGTACTGGGCTGAAAATAGAAATAGCACACAGCACACAACTTGACTATTTTAAGAAATAATCAGTAAGCCTTTACTAACTTGAGTATTTGAAGAAATACTCAATAACCTTCCGTAGGTTAGGGAATCCAAACAACTCAATATATGAAATACTCATTAAGTGACCCTCTAGGGAATGCAAACAACTTAGTAAATGACCCCACGGTTAGTGAATGCAAACACATGCAACTCATGATCTAGGGACCTATCGTTAAAATCAATATAGAGGTGGCCTCTAGTCTGGACAAAATTGGATGTCTAGTACTTCCCCACACACAACTCATATGTGCGAGGGTGATCCCTAGGCGATTTGCACCCTTTGGACCCATCATAGTCAAGCTAGCTGTCCGTAGCAACGTTCGAAGGTCAGTAGACCCTTGAGTGTCATGCGAGACATGGTGATGATGATCATCATCATAATGTACGCGTTCGTAATCATCATCATAAAAGAGGAAGTAGCCCGATGTATATGTAAACACATAATGCATGAGGCCCATATAGCTTCTCATCTTGAAAAAAACATCTTTGTGACACAACCTTAAGTTTCATTCACATATTACTCTAAGTATTATGCATGCATTGATAATCGTACATTCATCATCATTAACATTAATTAAGGTTGTGTCTTGGGAAAATCATCATCATAATGCACCATGCATTTAAAACATACATTTCATCTTAATATGGAATAACTTCATATTAAGGAATCTCATAATCTTACATCTTACATCGTCATGTTGTCATGCATCATCATCTTGTAACAACATCATAGAACATCGTATACTATCATATGACATCATCATATTATTCAATCCGACATCATATGTCATACTTCATACATCATCATCATACGTCATACTTCATACATCATCATCATATAATCTAGTCACAACATCATAAATATAAAGCATAAACGACAAGTGCAAGGGCCATTAGGCACGTGTTGTCATACAACAAACAAGTCGTCCAACCTATCCGATAGTAAGATCACTTACTTGGTTGACTTTAGCCGACATATTCCTAAATTTGAGTAGTTTTTCTTTCGTCCCTTGAGTCTTAAACTATTATTTTTTCTAATAGTTTAAGACTCTGATAAGGTATAAATAAACATATTTCAATTAAAATATATTTATATATTTTTTATTTTTATTATATAAACTAATCATTTTTATTTTACAATCTGTCCTTTTGTTACTTTAACTCATTTTCAAGAAATATCCGTCAGTTGTTTTTAGTTTTATGATAATGTTGAATTATGTTAATGTATTACAATTTTCGCTGGTTGTTTTTTTTTTATTGAATTTGTTAATTTTTAATATATCTTATCTAAGATTGTATCCGAATAATTATAAATTATGGATAAATAAAATTAAAAAAAAAATTGATAACCCAACCGAAACCCAACCCGAAAATAGAGGGTTGGGTAGGGTCAAAAAAATCCTCCAACCCGACCCAACCAAATTTTTTTTAAGAATCTATTAAAATTGGTTTGAAGAAACTTGTGAAGAGAACATAATGAAAACACATCAAAGAATATAATAGATACAAAATAGAATGTAAAACACAGTCGAGAGAGAAAGAAAAGGGAAGACATGAAAAGTATTAAATTGTTATACCTAGTGAAATAAGACCATTATGATAGGTCCCATTCATGAAGTTGAAGGTGTTTGCATTTAACCCGAACAGTGGGGTCACTTACTCAGTATTTCTTAAAATACTCAAGGTGTGTGCACTTCTTTTTTAGGTAAAGACAAAGCATCATTATACAGCTGATGATGACATCGCAATTCGAGATCATGACACATTCATAGGGTAACTGTACTTGTTTTATTAGACTTTGATTAGAATAGTCTTTTTAATTTTAACGTTATTTATTTTATTTAGTATTTTCGTTGTATCATTTAAAAGATGTTTTCAAACAAGTCCAGTGTTTTAAGATGAAATTTATATTTATGATGAAGTTTTAAAATGTTTAATTTCGCATACGAGAATAGATGACAAAGACAACCGAGTCTAAGTAAGTAGAAGTTTATGGTGATGCAACTATTTTTTTTTCAATTTCCTTTTCTAAATATTTTTTATTTTTTATTCACTTTTACTTTTTATTATTATTATTATTATTTTTTTTTTTTTTTGGGTTACTTCCTCAATTTCTTATTCCTTGCGCTAGTTATTTTATTCATCAACGGTGTTACAACTTGGGCGAGAATGAGTAAGTCTAAAGTACTTTTTGGTCTTATAACGGGTTTGTACGCACATTCCACTTAGAATGCAACCTTTGTTTGAGATTCGAATCCCTCCACGAACAAGATCGATGATGTCAAGGTTGAATAATTCTAAACCTGCTCTAAAGGCCCGAAGTTTTTATTTATTTATTTAAAAACATAAGTAGCTTTATCTAGACCTATTACACGATCCAAGATCAAGAAGATTCAACAAATATTCATTTTTCATCTACAAAAGTAGATAGGCTCGGTTCAACCATCATTTCGTGTCTTACAAAATGATTGGATTGAGAAATAACAATTTGGAGCTTCAGAAGTGAATATTTGCACGATTGAAGTAATGAATGAAGTTACTAAAGGTGCACTTGATTGACAAGTTGTTAGAAAACTTTATTTATTATTTTTAATTTCATAATTCTTGTATTGGGCCAGAGGAGGAAGTTATTTGTGAAATTGACTTTTGTTGTGGAGATTCAACTGGATGAAGATTAAATTATGACCACAACGTTATTTAGTGGATATTTGAAGAATTGAAAGTTTCTTTTGTTGGGAGACTATAAATACCCAAACATTATTATCTAAAAGATAGAATTTTGATTAATGAAATTAGATCTCAATTGAGATTCCCACTCTTGGAAATCTAAGCATCATCTTTGTCATTAGTTTCAAGCAATCTTTGTCATTTCTAAGTTTCAAACAATTCTTATGGTAGATTGCATGAGTCATTCAATCAAACCTTGATCAAGTTCGATGGTAGAGTGGCTCAATTTATAACAAGGTTTCTAAATCTTATTTTTGGGTTTCCAAATCTTATTTTTAGATCTTTGATCCTACGAAGTAATCTAATACTACCTTATCTCTTGGGTGATCCAAATTTTGTATAAGATGGTGTTAATTTCTTTAATTCGAGATTTCTTCTTGCTTAAACAAAAGTTTGGATTGTTGGGTTGAGGATTGGGGTTTGACTTATCAATTTGGTATGAGAGACTTAGTTGCATCAGTTCTTGCTTAAACAAAAGTTTGGATGGTTGGGCTGAGGATTACCATTACTTGTCAATTTGGTATGAAAGACTTAGTTGCATATTTGTATCCTACTCTAGAATTGATTTTATCTTTCATTTATTTGATACTATTGTTTATCTTTTCTTCCAATCTATCCATTTATTTTCTTGCTATCATGTCCACCATTCTTCTATCATCTTTTTATTTTGTTCTCATTTTCTTCTTAACGATCATATTTAGATCTTGAAAAAAAAAAATTCCTTATTATATTTGTTTAAGAATGTGATTATGGCTAAATTTTCCGTAGAAAGGAAAGTTAGATCATTATTAAATCTCCACCATCGTTCTCTTTTGAATATTTTTTTCCTCAGTGTAATTCTATCCAAAAATATTTTTGTGTCATTCATTTGTTTGTTCATTTTTTGTTTTATTTTGCTGTTATTTCATAATTTACTTATCTTGATTTCCCTAAATAGCTTGGTACTATCAAAATTATTTTATCCATATATTAGCCTACCTTGATCATAATTTAGTTATTTTCTCAAATAGCCTACCTTTGTGTGTAATAAACACAGAGTGTCCCTGAATGTAAAATTAGTGAGTTGAGTGTGTGAGATCCTAAAACATATTTAACTACTGTTTGTACCATCATGAACCAAGATGGAGGAAATGGAGGGGAGATCAATGAAGCTAGGTGGAGAGAACCACAGGTCGAGACTATTACTCGTTTGAATTGAGTTGTTAGTACATTGACTGACCGGATGAAGCGAATTGAAATAGTCCAAGGGGAGTATTAAACCTAAAGCCAAATCCTAACCCAATCAGTAAAGCCTTTACAGTTGCCAATCATCCAATATCAAGAATACGTTGTAAGCATCTTCAAATTTCTCACCAAGCTCAAAGGTGACATATTCAAGATGTTCGTATTTTCATTCACAA